AGAAAAAGAAGAAGTTGATGAGAACTTTGAGATGAAAGATCAATGTAAGGATTAAATAATGACAACAACAAATGTCAAGGTTGGAGAATCATCATGATCTTGATCTAAAAACCAAAATGCCGAAATGCATTGCAAATGCCTTCTTTTATAGGCTAAACTTAGGAACTATTGATTTGATAACTAATTGTTGATTGGGTAGCCAACTCTTGACTTGGTGACAATTCTTATCTTCTTATCTGCTAAAAACATTAGTGATAATGTCAGAATTTGAATCAAACCTCCACATGAATGTTGTAGGAAATTGTCTCAGCTTTCCAGGAAAAACAATTAAGGTTATTTGGACTTCTAAAACTCTAGATATTAGTTGAACTGTGAACAGTGTATGGGCTGTAGGATAGATTCGAAGTTCTTCGTTATTGCTACAATTTGGACTTGAAAATAGCCTTTTTAAATCATGGACAAAGTTGTAGGCCTAATTTTTATCTTTTCATCCATATAAAGTAGACCTAAATTAGAGATCTATAGCTCCAAATATGACCTAATTACTGAATAGTGTTCCAATTTGCACTGTATCAGCATCTTTTTTCTAAGTTTGACCATCTCTTTATCCTTTCAATTTCAATACTTAAACTCATCAATCAATCCTTTTATTTATGTGATAGGTTTGTATTTAAGATGAACATTTACCACAAATTAAAGGTATCTTATATTATTAGATATGTTATTACAAAACATACTTTAGTTAAGGAGTTATTGATACCTCAAGTGCAAAATAATGATATAAAACCTTGAAAAAAATGTACTTTTAAGTACTAATCAGCTACCGATTTCTACAACAAGCCTCCCAGGCAAAAAGGACTCAAACGCTTGCAACAATTTCATTGTATGATGATGTAAAATGTGGAACTCTTGAATATGAACATATAAACCCTTGAAATAAGTATGTTGATTAATGTAATTCAAAGATACAAATGCATTGATTTGTGATCAATAATGTCTTAGGTGGTGCGGTTAGGATAAGACCATTATTAGGACAAGGACAATCTATAAGTGGACCAGATAGGTGACTTTCACCTTCCTTTTTCATAACGTTGAATTATGAAATTCTTTATCATGAATGTTACCATATTGTGTTAGTACAAATATCAAATTATCAAATGCTTAAATTTTGACAAATGATTGATTAGCTTCTGTTAATGGTATTCGAATGGATGACCGGGACTAATAATTGATTAGCTATGGCTAATGGCTTTCAAACGAATGACTAGGACAAATGAATGAGTAGCTTTGGCTAGTGGCATCTAAATGGATGACCTAGACAAACAATTGATTAGCTTCGACTAATGGCATCCGAACGGATGACCGGGATAAATGACTGATTAACTTCGGCTAATGGTATCCAAATGGATGACCAGGACAAATGGTTGATTAGCTTCAGATGATGGCATCCAAAGTGGATGGCCGAGCCGAGTGAACTATTAACCTCGACAAATGATGCCTTAAAAAGATAACTAGATTTAAGATTATGGTTGATTGCAAGAATTGGTGCATTTATATGTACTATAAGTCATTCATACCAAGTACATAAAGGAACTACAAATGTCACACTTCAAAGATGGGATAATGTTAATGCTTAATTAAACTACCAGACTACTTATTATCATTATTATTAAGTAATTGCATTTTTATAAATGTTTTGTACTACAACAGGGACGTCACACCAACGAGGTGCCTAGAAAACCCAATACACGGGAACCTACTTTTGCAAGGAATCATATAGTTGCATTCTAAATCATGATATATTTTGTATTAATCAATGTACTAAATGTATATATATTATTAGATCCTTTTTGTTTAAATTTGTGATGATTATTAGTAGAATAGGAATGTAAACTTATATCTATGTATGTATATTTTTAATGTGAACTTCTAATCATGCAAACATAATAATATGTGTTTATGTAAGATTCACTTTTAAATAAAATGTTTAGTGTATGGATTGTATCTTGATAATATTAGGGAATAGGTTTGCCAATTACCGACACAATGTGTATTACACACACACACACACAATTTACCATTATTTTGGGCTTGAAAAGCTAGGTTGTTATAATTAATATCAGAGCTCTTGGTCTGGATCTTAAGGATCATTAATAATTGTGTTGTTGTGATATATTTCAGGATAGTGCGCACTAGACAAGGGACACGAACTGAGCCACTCTCTTTAGTTTCTATACCAACTTGAATCGCACACAAATTCCTCCTGTAGTTTCAAATATATCTCTAATATGACATAAAGGTCTGGTTTGATAAATTTAAGAAGATTTGTCCAATAACTTTTACCCTCTGTAATAATATGTTTCTAAACACCATTTAAAATGAAAATTTACTAAAATATATTTTTATATGTCTAATTTCTTCCTGTAAAATTCTATTTTATTTTAATTTATTGTTTGAGAGATATTCCCCATCTAGCAAAATTAAATATCATGCATTTTAAGTTTAAATTCAAACGTAACTTTGCTTATATCAACGCTGAGTTACCACTTTGATTTTGGTCCTTCCAAACGTTGATTATGGGGGCATATTTAGAACATGATGATATATTAATAATGGAATAAATGATTGAAATTGTAATAACTTATTTCATTCAACTCGTAATGCAAATTACATGAAAAAGCTACATAATGAATAATTCGTATGATTAAAAGAACAACTAAATTAGTCAATACATTGAAATCAAAATTTTACACAAGCAAGGATCACCTAAACACTATCAGTAAAGTGTTTTGAGAAAAAGCGTTTTGAGAAAAATATGTGGACCAATAACACTACCAGCAAAGGCTAGCGATAGGCAAAACAATAAATGTCAAATGGTAAGGATTTCAGTATGATTAAAAGAACAACTAAATTAGTCAATACATTGAAATCAAAATTTTACACAAGCAAGGATCACCTAAACACTACCAGTAAAGTGTTTTGAGAAAAAGCGTTTTGAGAAAAATATGTGGACCAAAAACACTACCAGCAAAGGCTAGCGATCGGCAAAACAATAAATGTAGTTAGACACCCACGTTAATCTAAAAAAAATAAATGTAGATTATAAATAATTTTTTTCAATACGGTATGGTACTAAAAAGAAAAACTACAATACATTACATTTTATAATCTTTATAAAGAAACCTAATAAATCATTACATTATATTTATATATCATGTACTTCCGCACAAACTTTCATATAGAACTAGAACCAGATCGTTCTAGATTTGGATGGGTTTACATACCAACATTAAAGTCAAAGAATTGTTAATACAATTAACTCAAGATTGTTGACTAAAACGTTCTTATCACTTATTTGGAAAATTAAAGATAAGCAAAGAAAAATCTAATAAAGAAAAGTGAAAGAGAGAAATTGGAAGGATATAAAATAAGGGGAAAAAGGTCGGGTGAAATAAAATCTCTTTTTTTCTCTTTTTAGGAAAAAAAATTATATTTTTAATGAATAGATTATTATTTTTATGAATAGGGAAAAGGTACATTGAAATTTGGAGGTAATTAAGAAAAAGATTAAGTTGTAGATATATATAAAAAAACATTTAGAATTCCACAATGGGTGTAATAATGAAAGGAAGTCGAAGGTGAAATTAGTTGTTGAGGTGACTCGAGGGCTAACGATGGTTTGATTGTGACCTCTAGAGTGCATTTATTGGATTAGGTCTTGCATTGAAGCCTTGCACCTCTCGGCAGCTAGAAGTTGATAATCCCATAGGAAAATAATTTTGCTTTATTTTAGTGGTCCCGTTCAAAGGAATATTGGTTTGGTTATCATAAATATGGGACCTTGCCACACGTAGTTTGCCTTAATTTTTTTCAGAGTTGAGGAACGGATTAACTAACATTCTCTGAAGAAAATCTTTGTTTTGCTTTCTTAAAACATTTTACTTGAAGAAAGAAAGAGGACAAACGGGAAATTACTTGGTAGAGATAACCAAGAAATATATTATTAAGGGAAGGACCTAATTTTATATTCTAAATAAACATCATCTTCAAATTTCATTTTAGTATTTGAAATTATATTGCTGAATATTTTTTAAAGTATTTTTATCTAAAAAATTTATTCAAATAATATTTTTTTAATTTATTTTAACATTGACATATCAAAAAAATTTATAATAAAAACTTTAAAAAATTCATTTTAACACAAAAACAAAAATTTCTTAATCGTTATGCGACCCTACCAAACCACACATAAAACAAGTTTGAACAAGAAGCCCAACTATTCACCTCACTAGTTGAACTATGTATTCATAGCACACAGGTCACATTACAATGATAGAGAGGGAGATGTGCATGATAAGACCTGGTTGATTTTAATTCACGGGTTAGATTAATTTTATTTTAATACAAATAAAATAAATAAAATATTTAAGTATTGTTAATATATTTCTTAATAAAAAAGTTAAATAAATAAAACTATATTATGATTGATGTTATATCATTAAATAGACTGATAAATTTAGAGATAACTGATTGATTTATAAAAACATATTTTCACTTAAAAAATCAGAATATATTTTTTTTAAGTATTGAAATGATAACATATTAGATTGTTTTATATTAACTCAGGTTAATATTTCAAATTCATTACTCATGTAATAAAATTATGATAATTCTATACAAAGCAAAGAAAAAATTTATTAAACTTAATTTTCAATCAATTCAATGTTAAAAGATAAGATTTAAAACAAAATTAAACTTAAAAAAATAAGTGGAGTCAACTTAAGTTAACTTGTCAAGCATGAGTCATAAGATCAGAGTAAACTTATATATATAAAAAAATCAAAATAAATTATAAAACTTAATTCTCATTCAACTCAATTTTGAAGAGTAAAATTAAAAAAACATAAAAAATCACTCAAGTTAACCAACCAAACGAGTGACTCAGATCATGAGACTAAGATAACTTCATAGAATGCAAACCTAAACAAATTATAAACTTAATTCTCAATCAACTCGATATTAAAGGATATAATTAAAAATAATCCAAATAAAAAAGGATAAAAAATCTAAATCAAGTAACCTAACTAGTGACTCAGATCATAAGATCGTGATAACCATATAAAAATTGATAAAAAAATTTAAAAATATCAATTCTCAATCAACTAATTTTAAAGGATTAAATTGAAAAAAATAAAAAATTAACCCAGGACAACTCAAGTTAACCTGCTAGAAAACTAGGATAAATTTATAGAAAATATTGTAAAAAATTATAAAGTCTGATTCTCAATCAATTCAATCTTAGAGAATAAAAAAATTAATTAAAAAATAAAAAAAGACCTCAATCAACATAGTTAACCCGTAAAATTCACAACTCGTATTACGAGACTAAGATAACTTTATAAAAAATAAATCAAGATAAATTATAAAGTCTCATGCATAATAAATTCTATATTTAACGATAAATTTTTTTAAACAAATGCCCTAAAACATTTAGAACCAAAAAGCGAGAAGAGCTTACTCTCGTATTACGAGACTAAGATAACTTTATAGAAAATAAATTAAGGCAAATTATAAAGCCTCATGCATAATAAATTCTATATTTAATGATAAATATTTTTAAACAAATGCCCTAAAAAATTTAGAACCAAAGCGAGAAGAGCTTACTTTTTTATTTTTTATTGCTATAGTGAAAAACCAATCTCTCTTAAAGAGTGTTTCAAATTGCGATTGGACTATGATTCTGAAAAATTTTGAACTTTTTAAATTTAAATTAATTATTTTTTTTATCATTCTAATGTACCAATATAAAGAAATATTATTTTCATATATTATTAAGATACTTTAAAAAATAATTTTTATCATATTCTTAAACAGTAAATTAGTATATATATATATATATATATATACACCATAATTGGACCTACCAGCTAGAATAAATTAATTCATATGAAATGGTTTCGTTGCTTTTTGCCACAGTAAAATTTGGGTCTTATTTTTCGAGGAATTAAAATGCCAGGTATAAAATCTTACTCAAAGGACTAGAAAACATCTTATATATTCGATCCACAATGCATTCCGACATCTTACATCATAGGCCGAAGCATGCATGAGGATAAGGTGCTAGCTAGCTATCTTCCCTCAATGTGGTCCTAAGCGTTGGGATATGGAGAAGATTTTCTTGTTGGGAAACCATAACGTAGTTATGGCCTCTCAGAATATACATAATTACTGCGCCACCCTTTCTGAAGCTTTGTTTTGATTGAATTTGAAGCCATGAATACAAGGTAGATATTTGCCTACTTTTGAGAAGGGTTCTGGTATCTATCAAGGTAGGTATGGAAGGGGTGGAGAAATGACTTCGTTAATTATATGCTGAAAATTGAAATTTCAAGGATTAATTGTTCATATTGTCTCAGCATGATACCATACCCAGCACGTACATGTATCTTTATTGTTTTAATTACGTACTTCCTTTACATGCTTATTTATTTATTATTTTTTTTAATTATTATACTAGTTAATACCTTTTCCTAGTTTTGTTTTTATAATAATTCGCCTGAGGTGAATAACTGTGGTATTCATGATTTATTGCTTATGTGAAAATTATTTTTTTATCTTAATTAATGTAATATCAATGTTTATTGCTCAATTTAATAACATGATTGTTTAGAGCTCAATTGGACATTTATGGTTTAATGATAGATAAATACTTCTTGACTTGGTATTTGATTGAATTATATGGTTTATTACTTATTTGAACTTATAATTTAATATAAATACAATAATATTAGGTTTAATATAAACATTGTGTATTTATAATATGATTAATTACTAATTTTTTTTTTATTGATATAAATGGTGTGTATTTATAATATGATTAATTACTAATTTATATTTTTTTATTGATATAAATGGTCAAGATAATTTGCACATATCTCAATTAATTTTATATATTTTAAAGTTAATAATCATATAAATTTTAGTAATTCTGAAATTAAAATTGATAAATTTCAATTACTAATCCATTCATGCTTGAATTGGTTTGCTATGAGATTTATGTAAAATTAAAATCCTATTTAATTGCTAGATAGTTATGGTCTTCTAACGAATTAAGCTCTAAGTACAAAAATCTTCCATTTTTTTCCAGTGAGAAATATATATATATATAGGTAACAGGAGGGCTAGCTACGCCCCCCTCACTGTCTTCTTAAAAGATTTGTGAGGGTTACGGCTTCCTCACCCTATGTCGTTGCACCACCTATGCCTTTCTAACATGCAGCATTGTTTTCTTATTTAAAAAGAAAAAAAGAAAAGAAGAATAGCACCGTGTGTGTTGCACGAAGCTTTCAACCATGACATAAGATGATGAATGAACATGAAATATATATTTTTACAAGTCAAAATTCGCAATCATTAATAGCACAATAATTAATACCCACTATAAGGCTATATAATTGACCATATATTTAATTCATTGTCTGTATATACCTGACTTTTATGTCAAACAAGGTGAGTGCTGAGACTTCTAATTAATTAAATAGGCTTCAAGACAATTTACTCATGGACTCGTAATATATTCGTACTTAAGAATCAGGTTTTCATTATTAAAAAGGAAAAAATAAAAAAGCCAAGAAAAAGGGAGTTCCAGTTTCACCTTGATGATTTAACTTTTTGTTGAATGAGAAAGGCAATCAAAATGGAGATAAAAGATTACCAACTCAAACCTTGGCCTCCATCTGTCAATTAACTAGCAGCCCTACATTTGATCCACAGGCAAGGGATATCAAACATAATCTAAGAGGAAGAAATAAAAAAAAAAAAATGAATTCCATGATCCAAAGCTACCAAATCATTTTTGTTTATCGATCCTATGAGAAAATCATCCTTAAGCTGTTTATTATAAACCTTAAGACAAGTGACTAATTAATGTTTTGAGTTACTTCATACAACTCCAGCAGCGCTTCGCTTTTTCTCAGATAGTAGCTTTATTCTTCATCTTCTTTTATTTTATTTTTTTCGCATTTTGTTTGCACTCTCCTTTCTCCTTGGCTGCTGTATTTCCTTGGCCTTTACTTGATCTATGAAAAACAAAAAGAAGAAGAAGAGGGTGAATAATCAATGAGCTATCATAATTAAGGTGGCCAAGAACAACAACAATCTTGTTAGGTTGTAGCTAGGTTCTGCTCAAATTACTAGGACGTCCACCAACCTTTTCTTCTTGTTCTCATCGAATAAGTTAATCAAATTATGAACCAGGGCTTTCGAGGGATAGGCAAATAGGGCTCATTTTATTTCCAAGTGCTAGCAAGGGGACGTGGATCATGTCGTCCACCATATACTGACCATTCACACTGTACATCAGTAGGGATGACTTTTCGGCTGGCATGGAAAAGTGAAAATGTCCTCCACGATCATGATGAAGAACATGGTTTTATAGCACATCCTGATACATATATAGGCTAACTTGTCATGTGTTTTTGTCCCTGTACCGTTGCCCTGTTTTATATATTTTTTATTGGCATGGTCCCTATTCTCTCATTTTTCTCCATTGGTCCCTTCACTTGAGAAAATTTCTTGATAGGGTCCCTCCATTCAACTTCCATGCAATTTACCATGTTTTCAAGAATTAACAGTAGAATGGAAAGAAGTTGGATAGAAGAATGCATGAAAGATGTTCTAGAGCGTAGGGACAAACTGAATAAGAAAATAATACGGAGGTCTTCTCAAGAAAATATCAAAAGAACAGGTACCAAGCATACGAATAACCCTATATAGCTGGGTACCGTGGTCATATCAAGGTACGATAAATGATTGTTGGAAAAGGTGCATAATATGAAATGAACAAAAGTGCATTTCTGCCCATTCTAAAGAACAGAAACACATTGGCGTGTAGACTCATGGGGGATAACGTACACCATTAGAGCTAGATGTAGCTAGCTAGCTCCCGAAGACGAGCAAAACGAAAGGAAGCGTAAGAATAAAACGCGGAGCTTATAGCGAAATGATAATGACTTCGACTCAATATCGGTTGTCATGAGTTAAGCTATTTTGGCAACTGGATAGGTAGACTATGGTGTGTGCTGGTAAATCTAATAAATTCAATGTACTCGGTTTTCAGAGGTGATAACAGAAGATATTGTTTTATCTTGTCATCTTGAATTTGGCTATATTCTTATAAGAAGAAGCACTAAATCTGTTAGAAATTAAACTTTATCTTGTTATTATGGTAGTTGTAAATGTATAAAATTATAATAATTTTATTTGTAATAATTACATCTTAAATAGTTCAAAAACATCGTAAAAAGTTTATCCTAAAAAGATATGAAAATATATAAATAGTGAATTTTTGAATTTTAAAATACTCAACTCTTAACCTTAAGAGTTTTAACTCATCTTATATAATATTTTTATTGAATGCATAACTCTGAATGAATTTTTATAAGTAGCTGTAATTATTGATAAGTTACTATTATTTTGAAAAAAAATTAAAAACTATGTTAATTCCAACAATGTCCTTTGTAATGTTGACATTAGAAGAAACATAATATTTAGCATATTATTGAGTAAAAATAGATTTAAGATGACCTTTGTGATTGAGAAAATTTATATTGTTTAAGAATATAGCTTAAATAATATAGGTTTTAAAATTCTTATTTATATAGAGTTTAAAAATATAGGTTTTAAAAATAGCTTAAATAATATAGGTTTTAAAATTGCTTTAAAACATGGTTTAAGAACAAAAAAAAAACACATTTTTTTTTTGAAAATTTTTGGTAAGACAAATATGGCCTTAGATTCTAATAGGCTCAACCCAATCATACGGGTTTGACTTCCTAACCCAAAACACAAATTAAATTTAAAAATGAAATAATTAAGATCAAAAAGATTTTTTACTTGAATTTTTTGAATAACACGAAGAACACTTTCATAAATCCAAAAGTTAAATTGTGAATTCAGGTCAAATTGCATTAAATAAAGGACACAAAATAACAAAACATGGAAGATTAAAGCATAACGATGCATCAAATGAAAAGGCAAACCATAAAATACATGAATCATACCCGAAAATCCTAAACCTAAATCCACATATTTGAAGAACATTATAGATCGATTGATCCATTACAAGCACTTAATGTACAAATTAATGGCAGAGAACGATAGTGTATAGTTTTAGGCTTTGATCAAAGCACACAAATCAAACAACAACATTAGTTTGTAAGAAATTGGAAATGATAGCTTATGAACATTCAAACCAAATCTAGAAAAAAAAATATAAAGTGCTTAACCTATAAATTGACTAAATCCATTGAAGCATGGCCTCTCCCACAAACTTTGATTCAAGCATGCTTATTATAACTTCTTTAAAGCATAAAAAACTAAATAAAATAAAGAAAGGAAACAATTCAACATATAACTTCAAATGAAAATTATTTTACTTTAACATTGTTATGTTAGATTAGAATTATTTTTAAATAGACTAAACATGAATGATGCTTGCTGAAGAAACAACAAACTACCTAGAAAAATAATTGATAGTCATAATTTGATAACTCTCGTATAATCAACAAATCAAATCAAATCACTAAATTGAACATCTAAACATTATTATTGATATCATAATAGACAATTAACATGCTAAACAATAATGGTAATAGCATCAAACTTGAGTGTCAACTAAATTTTCCTTATAAAAAATAGATACATTGCAATTAAATTTTATAAACAATCATCACAAATAAATAGTAAGCACTTATAAATACAACAAAGATTAAAGGAAAGGTATGTTACTTGAGCTACACCTTCTCATCAAAAGTTTAAGGTATATCTTCTTCAATTAATGATGTTTCTGGTTTGGAATTTATAGCTCTTTTTTTTAGCTCTAGATCATTGATGTTTCTAGCTCCTAACCTTGATTTGTAAGTTTCTTTTTCTTCTTCTTTTTTTTTTCACTAACTTTTAACATTATTTTTTTGGTTTTTTCATCTCAATCAACTTAAGAATTTCTCTCTTGGTTCTCTCTATAATTTTTCCTCCGCTCACTTTCTTTAAATTGAGTTACCACAGTAATTAAGAATGAGACGAATAATAATAAGAATGCTTATTTTTTTATTTGCTCGAGTCTTATGATATATGATATGGTAGGTTAGAACATGTGAATTATAATTATATACAAAGCTTACCTATTCTTCAATTATTACCAAGTGTGATTTTTTAGAAAAATCATAAGTGTGAGGTTTGTGTAAATAAAAATTCACAAACCTTCTTCTTAAAAAATTTAAAGAAGTAGTAAAATTAATTTATTCGGATATTAGGGATTTAAAATTTGTATAAATTACAAGTAGAAAAAAAATATTCTATTACTTTTATAAATAATTATATAAGGTATATTTATACCTATTTGCTTATAAGAAAATACGAGACTTTTAAAATATTTTAAAAAATTAAGATAATAAAGCTAAAAATCAATTTACGAAGAAAATAAATGTCGCACGTGTGCGGCGTCGAGTGAGTTTTCCACTTTTATCAGGAAAATATATAATATCTATCAGGAAAATATAGGGGGACAAGAAAATGTAGTCTTTTGCTGATGAAAGCAAAACATTTTTTATTATTTTTTTAATGAATTGACAAAAACCAGGTATTTTAATACCGAATTTGTATCTTTACAATATAAAAATTCAAACCGATATTGATCAACACGCAGTAACAAAATTGCAGAAAATAACATATTCTTCAAAATAATTCTTTGAAGAAAATTCTTTGAATGGGCCAGACTCGACCCAAAAGGAAACAGGGCCAAAATCAGCCCAAAATAAAACGGGCCTACTTTCTAAAGGGTTGGACTCAGCCCAGCCGCATGGGCTAGGCTAATATTCGAGCCCGGAACAACAGTAATCAATACTGTATATGAGAACAGTAACTGGGTTACTGTACACGCATAGTAACCGGGTTACTGTACATGAGCACAGTACCCGTTAATTAATTAGCTTGTACAGTAACTAGTTAATTAATATCGTGCACCTGCACAGTAACTAGTTAATTACTACTGAGCACCGACACTTACCTGGAATGAGAAGCTGACGGTGGGCTGGTGGTGGTGCTCGTGGCCGGTTTGGGTGGTGGCGTTGCTACGGTAGTGGTTTGGGAGCCCGGTGACAGCAACTGTTCTTTCTTCTTCTTCCCTGTGCAAAGGTGCCCACCTCTAGTTTTTTCCTTTTTATGCCTGCTTCTATTCTACTCACTATCAATGTCTTTGTTTTGTCTCCCTCGTCCCAATGTCTTCTCTCCTTCTAGTCTGTTTTACCTTGGTTTCTCTCCTCTCTTTCTCCTCTGTCCACCCCTATTCTTTCTTCTCCTTCTGTTGCTAACGGTGTTCTGTTGGTGACTAAAAGGGCAGTGGCAGTTAGGGGTGATGCTGGTGGCGGTGGAAAGGAAGCCGATGATGCCTCACGGTGATTATAAAGGTGGCGGTGGCTGGGGAGCCCAATGACAGCAGCTGTTTTTTTTTTCTTTCTTCTTCCCCCTGCAGAGGCGCAGGTCTACCTTTTCTCCAATAGTACTACAACGAGGAGGGGGCAAGAAGATGGTGAGCTGAAAAATGATGATCCTTGGCAGTGTTGATGTGTTTGTATTTCCCTCCCTCTGTTTCAAAGCTTCTCCGTCTTCCCTCAGTTCTCCTCTTGTTAAAAAATTCCCCCCTATTCTCCTTTCTTTCTTTCCCTTCTCTTATTCAAACTTTCTTTTCCCTCTATTCCCTTTTTGTCTGCTAGTGTTTAAGGACAGTATTACAGGCAAGGGGAGCGGCCTACTGTTACGCGTGGGGAGTAGGGAGACACTTGGTGAGGTCTCCAACGAGAGGCGTGGGGCTTTAGGTTTTGGGTTTTGGGACTATATATATATATATATATATATTGTTTTTACTTATTTTATTGGTGGGGACCCAAAAATAGGTTATAGTAGATGCAACTTTATAATACTTACGGAGCAGGGGTTTTGCATAGTAAGTTTTATAAAGATAAACAAAACTGAACTTCCAAAACTGATATTGTCGAAGCTTAATCGATTTGAAACTTTATCTTTACAGTAATTTCCCTTCAACCCGAAACTACAATCAAAACTTAGTCATCTTGAGATCTCAATCTAGCGATCCTCTGACTTTTTACTTCGATTAGATTAACCTGGAATTCCATTTGAGAACCAAAAATCTATATTTGTAGCTTGGCCAACTTGAAATCCCATCTGGTGATTTACTTTAGCCGAAGCTGATATCTGTATTGCGGTTGGGCTAACCTGAAATCCCTTTTAGCGACCTCCTTTAACCAAAATAAAAAAACTATATTTATAGCTCGGTCAACCTGGAATCCCATCTGGCGATTCCCTTTAATCAAAGCTACTTGAGATCCCATATGACGACCTCATTCAATTGGAACTAAAAAAATATATACAGCTTGATCAACCTGAAATCCCATCTAGCGATTCCCTTTAATCAAAGTTACTTGAGATCCCATCTTGCGACCTCATTCAACCAAAACCAAAGAATATGTGTAACTTGGTCAACTTGAAATCCCATTTGGCAATTTCCTTTAACCAAAGCCACCTGAGATCCCATCTAGCGATCTCTTTTAACCAAAACCAAAAAATATGTGTAACTCAGTCAACCTGAAATCCCATCTGGTGATTCCCTTTAACCAAAGCCACTTGAAATCCCATTTGGCGATCCTTTTTAACCAAAACCAAAGAATGTGTAACTCGGTCAACCTGAAATCCCATCTAGTGATTCCCTTTAACCAAAGCCACCCGAGATCCCATCTGGTGATCTCCTCTCACTAGAAGAAAATAATATATGTAACTTGGTGAACCTGAAATCCCATCTGGTGATTCCCTTTAACCAAAGCCACCTGAGATCCAATCTGGCGATCCCTTTTAACCAAAACCAAAAAATGTGTAACTCGGTCAACCTGAAATCCCATCTGGCGATTCCCTTTAACCAAAGCCACCTGAGATCCCATCTAGCAATCCCTTTTAACCAAAACCAAAGAATATGTGTAAATTGGTCAACTTGAAATCCCATCTGGCGATTTCCTTTAACCAAAGCCACCTGAGATCCCATCTGGCGACCTCATTCAACTGCAACTAAAAAAATATGTGTAGTGTGGTCTCATTGTAATGGGTGACCTACCCAGAAAAATATTGGTCTCATTATAATGGGTGACTTACCCAAGAAAAAAAGGAAAGAATGGTCTCTTTGTAATGGGTGACCTATCCAAGTGGAATAATGACATCATTGTCATGGGTGACCTGATTAGTACTTAAAAGTGCATTTTTATCATGGTTTTATATCATCATTTTGCACTTGAAGTATCAATAACTCCTTAATTAAAGCATGTTTTATAATAATATATCTAATAATATAAGATACCTTTAATTTGTGGTAAATGTTCATTTTAAATGCAGGCCTATCACATAAATGAAAGGATTGATTGATGACTTTAAGAACTTAAATTGCAAAGGCAAAGAGATGACCAAAATTAGAAAAGAGATGTCGGTGCAATCCAAACCGGAACACTATTCGGTAATTGGGTCATATCTGGAGCTATAAATCTCAGACTTAGGTCTAATTTATATGGATGGAAAGGTAAGACATAGCCCTACAACTTTCATATGGAGCTCAACATCTAAAAAGGCCATTTTCAAGTCCAAATTATAGCAACAACAAAGAAGCCCGAATCTGTCCTCCAGCCTGAGCACTGTTCAGTATTTTGGCCATATCTAGAGTTCTAGAAGTCCAAATTAGCTGAATGTTTTACACACGAAAGCTGAGACAATTGCCTACAACTTTCATGTTTTCAAGTGGCTCCAATGTTGACGTTATCAATGATGTTTTGGGCAGACAAGAGAAGATAAGGATTGTCATCAAGTCAAGAGTTGGCCGCCCACTCATCAATTGGTCATCAAATCAATAGTTGCCAATTTTGGCCTATAAAAGGAGGCATTTGCCATGCATTTAGGCATCTTGGTTTCCAGATCAAGATCATGCTCTTCCTTTCTCTCTTTGTATTTTTTGTATTGCTTATACTTTGCTTTCATTAATATCAAGTTTATGTCTTTCAATTCCTTTGCTTTGCTTTGTTAACTCTTATATTATTTATGTTCTTATTTTGTTTATTTATTTTTCTTTCTTTCATTATGTCTAGCTAAATTTATTATGTCAAGGTGAAAAGGTTACACTAATGGTGTAAGAATAAGTATATTGTAAACTTAATATGGACTTTAATGTTTGATACTAACATGTTTTGTATTTGTTATCTTGTTCACTCTTTAATACTTTGCTTGTTAAATGACTAATCTTGATTTATATTGTATAACACTTGGTACAACAAATGCTTGGCACTTTCATAGTTCATACTGTATGGTATAACCGACACGTGAGCTATGAAAGGAAGTTGATTTGTTGTTAACATAAGTTATAATCATGAATGCTTGACGAGATTTAGAAGTACTAGCATTAATGGAATAAGATGACTAATGTAATCATATTAACAATCTATAATCTAATTGGAACCTCCTTTGTGTGTGGTTTCCAATTGAATAATAAGAGTTTATATTATACTTGTTTGACATACCATTAGTGAAACCTCTAACATTAACATTTGTTATTATTATTGTTTAATCTTTACATTAATTTTCCATCTTCAAGTTCTCATCATCTTCTTCTTCTTCTCTTTCTTTA